AAATGCTTAATGACATATTCAATGACATATTTTGTATGTTCAATGACATATTCCATGACATATTTTCTTCACTTTTTATGCCTATATAAAGGCCTTGTAATAGATAGGAAAATACACACAATTGAAGAAGAAATAAGAATCCCTCTTCCTCTCTTTCTCTCTATATCTCTTAGTTTGTTTTTGCTTGTTCTATATTGTTATTTTGAGTTATATTTTATAACACTACTAATAATTTCTTAATAAGTATATAAAACTTAAATCCATATCTTTATCTGAAAAGTTTTATTTTGTGTCTTATACAACTGACACTAGTTGTATGAAACTCCTTTTTATCTCACAAATTTATGGACCCCAATCTTACACTTCTGGTCCACAAAAATCTGGGTCCATAAAATTGTGAGACAAAAAAGTTATCTCCTACAACTAATGTGACTTGTATGAGACACGAAATAAAATTTTCCTCTTTATCTAATGGATAATTTGCATCAGTGCTAAAGTGTTATTTCTGAAAAAAGAGCTACTCCATTCGCCATTTGGTAAATTTTAAGAATTTGTCCAGTATAATATTTATGCCGAATTGTCTTGCAAATATGATGGTCAATGTATTATTCAGTTTCTCTGTTCAAATCTAATAATGCCCAAGTATTTAAAAGACAAAAACAAAGATTACAAAGTGTTGAGAGACGATTCGAAACCCTTTTGGACCCAAAATTAAATCATGGCTTCTTCCAGCGACTCCAGCCAAGATTCTTCCGGCGACTCCAGCCAAAATGACAGCTTTACAAGTAGTAGTAATTTGATAAATCATCCATTTTTGAAGAAACAAAAGTTGTGCGTGACCAAAACCCTATATCAAATTAGTTAGTTACCGGACTCAGTGCTAGTTCAAATACTCTCTCTTTTGCCTACGGCAAAGGATGCATTCAAAACCTGTATTCTCTCTAAAAGGTGGCGCTACCTCTGGGCTTCAGTTGATAACCTCAATTTCACTCGTACAAGTTACCGGAAAACAAACGACTTCGTATCCTTTGTTGACTATGTGATAGCTCATTTTGTTTCTTCCAAAATAAAAAGATTAAAGCTCGACTGCAGTCGCCTGTATCCATACAAGTCGCATATGAGCCGATGGCTTAGTTTTGCTGTTGAAAAAAAAGTGGAAGATTTTGTATACTGGTCAAGTTCTAATAGGAACGGTTGCACATTGCCTGAATCTTTTTACACCTGTTCCTCGTTGGTAACATTACATTTGAAATTTTATTGCTTTGATTCTGGAGCGGCCATACAGTGGAAGTCTCTAAAGAGCATAAAGTTGGAGTATTTGGTGTTATCCGATGAGGATATCGTGAACTTAGTGTCAGGTTGTCCTGCTTTAGAAACTATGGAATTTGATACAGTTGGGGGATTTCTTCGTGTGGACATTAATTCTTTAAAGCTGAAGAGACTGTATTTGAAAGGTTTTACGTTTCCTAGTGATGGACGTGATCCAACCTTGGAAATTGTTGCCCCATATCTTCAGCATTTGGAGATTTCAGGAGTTCATCTCAAATGTAGGCTTGTAGATGGGTCCTCCTTGGTTACTGCTATTCTTACTTTCCACACTCATTGTATCAAAGACGTCCCGGGTGATCATGCTGAACAATCTGATGATGAGGAAGACAGTTGTCGTGATTCACATCACGTCTTTGGGACTCTCATCCAAGATTATCTTCCAAAATTGAGTTGTGCAACCGAGCTAACAATAGGAAATTGGTTTATAGAGGTTTGTTCTAACTCAAAAGTCTTTGTTTTCTCTCATTGATAATTACTCCGTAGACACTTGGAGAATATAAAACATTATACAATTGAGAACATCTGCATAAATTTCATAAAAACACAACAAGATCAAATACAGAAACTTGTTGCCTTGTGGGCCTTTTCGCAATCCGTTTGTCAACTTTTAGAAGCCTGTTATTTCTTCTATCATACCTCCAAAAGATATAATCTAGAAACCAGAGTTTTTGTACATTGATGTAGCTTGAAGTGTCTAGATTTTTTTGTTTTGTTTGATAAAGAAAGAAGCAGAGTGGCAAAAAAATGTTTAGATCGTTTCATTGGGATTACTGCACCAGGTCATGTGCATGTTGCAGTTCAAAGGAGTACAGATTCCCGAACCGAAATGCAAATATCTAACGCTAGAGGAGTTGCGTTTGGAAAAGTTTAATTTGTTTGGAGTAGCTGGCCTTTTGCGAGCCTTGCGTCATGTGGAGACACTCTACATAGACTTTGCTACTGCTAAGGTAACTTTCCTGGAACATCCTCTCTTCTTTTTACTCTGTTCATTTTATGAAGGTTTTACACCCCCTCCCCGAGAAAATGCCCGACATAGTCCCTTATCTTTATGAGTAGACTTAAAATGGTCCCTTGTATATAATTAGAGCACAAATAGTCCCTAAACTCTAAAGTTTACAAGAATGGAGTCCTTTTAGTATTCTGTTACGCAAACTGTTTAATAGGTAGTTGGTCACATGTGTATCACGAAAATATCCTAACTGAAAAGATGATAGAAGGAATCCCTTACCCTTGAAGAATATACCCCTTCTATTCCCTGATTTTCTATTTTCATTTATCTGGATCAACTAAGTACTAATAATATGCAATGCATTAGCGATAGAAGCCATATATAATTCGAACACACACAGAAATACACCACACCTGCAAGTTTTACACCAGAAACAAATACAATAAATTATTTCATTTTAAAAAAAAACATATACAATAAATTTAATCCTTCTTTATTATTGAATAAAGAATTGGTTTTTTTACTTTGTAATAATGGCATCAGAATTTAAAATGGATTTAAAGAGTGCTTTAATGTCTCGTTGATCTTCTTCCCAGACACAGAAATTCTTCAAGTACAAAGACATGTTGCGGTGGACTTGCGGTCGATCGATTTATTACAGCAAGACAATTTGTTAAAGGAAGGAGCAGAGAGATAAGAGGGGTTGAACCATGCGATGAGCGAAAATTTTACCAATGTAAAAATGGTGTTTATATAGCATCCAAACTTTAGCAAAACTCTAAGCTCCTGTCTTTAGTTAGATTGAAACTTTCCATAAGTTCTGGGTAGTTAGTTTAAGACCACTCAAAACCACTGTTGATCATTCTGGGTAGTTAGCTTAAGACCATACAAAGCCACTGTAGATCACCTATAAAATTCTTTGTAGCAGAATATATCAAGCTGTGTTTGTTGGCGTAAATCTGACACCAAAAATGCTATACCATTAGGATCATTGACAATAGCTCCTAGCGGATCTTGATCAAGATGGGCACCATGTGATAAACTTGCAAACACACGCAAAAATTACAAGAAAAAGTTGAGGAATATATTGGGTATTTGATTGCCATGGTTTTTCGTCAATTAGGATTGAAAGATTGGAATACTCAAATTTTCTGTTATCTTAGACTATGAAATTTGAATCCATGCTGTGGGGGTATCATGACTTCATTCTTGGCTTCTTGCAGCTGTCTCTATTAGCAGAAACAAGGTGAAGGGATTTTTTCATGAAGCTGGTTTCTCTTAGCAGAAAGAGGGAGGAGGTTTTTTTTTTCTGAATTTGGAATAGATCACAGTAACTAACTGCCGTTATTATTACACGGTTTCTGTGTGCTCCATTTTTGTAAACTTAAGAGACTATTTGTGCTCTAGGAGTCTAGGTTATATATAAAGGATCATTTTAAGCCTATCCACAAAGAAAATATTTTTGGCTTTTTCTCTCCTCTCCTCTCCCTGAGAAGTTGTTTCCGAAGGAGAGTGCAAATATGTCTTTATTGGATTTTGCTAAAGAGTAGTAGGTCAGTACCGTTCCTTTCCCCCCCCCCCCCCCCCCCCCCCCTTAAATGCCCTTGCTATTTTTTCAAATATTGGGGGATATTTTGTCTTCTACCCAGAAATCATAACCCATTTTAGTTCTTTTCCACTGTTCCGTTGGAAGCCCTTCCCTGTTCACTTTCATTTTCCCTGTAAAAGTCACCCAAGCCCCAAGAATACAAGATCGCTGTGAGAATAGTGCTTTGTCTATTGTTCAACTCGCTTATGCTTCAAGGTGCAACCAAGAGTTTGAGGTCCAAATCAAACTCTCCCCACTTTCTGATACACGCTGTTTGTGGTTACTGGGGTTCTATATATGCTTTACTAAATGATTTTGACACACAAAATCAGCAAAGTCAATTTGTGGATTAATGGAAGTCCAAGAAATTCCTTGCGTTCTCAAGTTTCAAAGGAAGAGAAGCAATCATCTTTTATCCTTCCGAAGGCTGGGGATTGGATTTTGTTTATTCATTACAGTCCACTTGAGAGTCTAATTCTAGAGATAAAGTAGAAACAGAGATTTGGATCCATGCACAAGAGAATATGTTTTGACTTTATTTGATAGCCGTATGTTTGCCAAGCAGTCTACCGGAGGAAATGTGCGTTGGACAAAAAAATAGAGAACCAGTTGCTGGAAAATGAAACGGGAAGGGGGATTCTTTGGTGAAGAGTAAGGGATGGAATGGCGTGGATTGCAGAGGAAGAGAAATTATTTAGTACTTAGACTTATTTGTGGAGAAGACCAATAAAGTTCCTTAGATAATGAAGTGTCAATAAGAACCACAATGAAGTGTCAATAAGAACAAAAGGGTACTTAAGAGAAATAAAAAATGGGGAGGGTGTTAACCTATTAGAGTAGGACGTAGGTTAAGAGAAACCCATCTTTAATTATCAGTGAGAAGCTTCGCTTTGTCACAGTAAAGCTACATTTTAATATGGTTAGTGTTGTTTCTTTCTTCGTGGCAAATGAGCTCCGGAACAAAAAGGATTGTTGCGCTATCAGTCCTTGCTTGTACCTATACCATGAATTTTTATCGTAGGAATAGCCATATGAATCATTTCCCAAGTACCATTAAGATTCATTGATTCCGAATTCTTTTTTCTACCAGATCTTTCTACTATGAAATCATTTTTTGTCAGCTTCTGCAATTTCTTAGGCTCACCTGCATTTGGTCCTGATTATATTCTGTCTCCAGTTTAATGGTTTCCGCTGCCACTTTGAGTCAAGATATTTGGCCAAGGGGGAATCTATTGATTTGCAGAGTTGGGCTTCGAGCTTTGAGTTTCCTAACCTCAAGAATGTTAAGATTGTCATCTCTTTAACATACTTGAAGGATCATGTGGAATACTGCTTTGACAAGCTTTTCAAACTTTCTGAATTTTTGTTAAAGAACACAAAGGTTTTGGAGAAGTTCGTTATCATATCAAAGAGAAGAAAGTGGGAGAGCTGTTGGGCGTCCCAATATTTGTTTCGACTGGCTGAGAAATTGTTAGATTGCCCAAGATCCTCTACAAAAACTGTAATTATGGTTTTCCAGGAGTGAGCTTTCTATGATTAGATTGAAAGTAGACTAAAAGTTGCAAGTAGATTTTTGTTCAGTTCACCATAAATGTTACCTTGTATTTAGTTTTTTAATTACTGCTGATGAAAATCTTGAACTTCTCTATGTAACTAATCAGTAACTATTTGTTCCTGTTATCTTACCCTTAAGACATACCAAATGTTATTGTTGCTTGTTTTATCGTGGAGCTTTTTTTGGTGTTGCATTTTCGATGTTGTACACGTGTTTCGGAGTTTCTTATTAGGCTTCCCCCCTCTAGATTTGTCAAGATTGGCAGATCTACAAGCGACGGTTCTTTCTGATAATTAGGATCATGAAATGTTATGTTCTGCAAACTTTGCCCATGGCGGAGATGTTAGGCATTTCTTGGAAGGAAGAGATTGTACTGTTTATTTATCTCAAATGATCTGTAGCCAACTGTGATTGAGGCTTACAGTGCAGTTGAATGCTTTAACTTGAACTAAAGGTCATGATGATACATCTGCTTGATTCACCTGGAATTTTCATTTATCAGGTACAGATTTGAGTTGGTCAAATAGCTTACTCTAGGGGTTGATAAAATCCCATGCAAAAGAATTACTGGCATGCCGGCGGAAATCTTCAAAGCCAATGACTATTATGGGGTCATGGCTGAATAATGCTGGTTGAATGTGGTCAGGAAATTCCCAAGGGGAAAGCCACAAATCCGATCTAGGTGCGTGTACCATGACTTTATTTTCTTTAGGTTTGATTGTTAAGACATCTTTCCTCATCTGATGCAAATAAAGCTAAATTTCCATTTTTCTTGTGATAGAAAATTTACGATGTTTACAATTTACATACTAGTGAAGTTACTGTTTCTCTTTGTTGTGGCTTTATAATGGCTTCTGGTTCCGGGATCGTAGTCTACAATCTCTAAAGCTTTATATTATCTTCGTTTCTTTTAGGGATGTTTCACAAAGATAGCAGCAATATGTAAAAGAGTTATATTACATCTCTCTCAGTATGTAAGGAAGTTTATATTTTAGAGGTGTACATCAGCAAAGCTAATTAAACTAGCTAATGATGATACTACTGACCAAACCCAGCATTTCTGGACCCAAAACTAAGGGTGTATATGGCCCGGGTTAGTTTGGTTTTTATCAAAACCAAACCAAACCAAAGCAACTATAATGGTTTGGATTGGTTCGGTTTTGTCAAGTTTTTCGGGTTTTTTGTTACTTGATATTTCAATCTTTCTTTGTTAAATATTTGATAAGTAAATATATATTTATTAAAAATATAAAAAATTGACAAACATATTATCGATTAAAATATTCTTATGGGAGAATTCTATTAGTAACACATAATAGTTATTTTCTTAGTCATCTGACAATAATTTTTCGTTGATATACACTATCAGAGTAATTAAACATAAAAATCAATATGGTACCTAAATATTAATAATCACTTCACATTCGAAAAAATATAAGAGTTTAATAGATCTTAACATATGATATGAATATGGAAGAACAAAGAGATAGACATAACACTTGATAAGAAAGTGATCATACAATCCATTATTTAAGGTCAATAAATATGGAGCACTTCATATTCTATTAAAATTTATATCCTCCGGGAGAATCCCAAATATTTCAAGACATTTTCATAAAGAAAATTCTATATAAAATCTTAAAAGTATATATAAAAATTATATATTTATATGTCGGGGGTTTTTCTACTCAATACCAAACCAAATCGGATTTTTTAATCGGTTTGGTGCGATTTTTCGGTTCGGTTTGTACACCGCTACCCAAAACCATGGCTTCTAAAAGCCAGAAAAGCAATCAGTTAGTTGTCGGCCAGTAAATTGACGAATATTGCCTCAATCTATCTGCACTTGTTCATCGTTGACAACAATATTGGATTTGGGGATCTATTATAATCTCTTGTGTAGGCTAGTAAATGTATCCTCCTTGGTCAGTGCTACGTTTACTTTCGGCTTAGTTGTGGTGGCAGTGCGTCCTGATGATATGATTATCAAGCTTTTTAGGAAACTTGTGCAAAATTATCTTCAAAACTTGAGTTTATGCAAACAAGCTAACTATCAGAACTTGGTTTACAGACCTTTCATTTCTTTAATAAACTATGCTAGGAGTTGAAAACTTGCAAATGTCACAAGAATTGGGTTTTGCAACATCCATTTGACCAAGTGTAACCTTTACTGAGTAATATTGTTCTTCACTTTTGTCAGGGAAGGGAACGAATCTCAATTATCGCCAACAACAAACACATTCTGAGATCATTCCAGCTACCAGAATGTCTTTGTATTTTCTTATATCTATAGCTAATTCATTGTAGCTATGAAAAATAGCTAATTCCTAATTCATCTTATGAAGTTTTAACGCCCTCCCCCTCTCCCGGATACTTATTTGGAAGGAGAATGCAAATAATTCTATAATTATCTGTTACCAATAAAAAGAACTCTTTAATTATCAGTAAGAAGTTTTGCTTGTCACATTAATATGACTGGTTTTTGATGTCGCTTTCTTTGTGGCAAATGAGCGCTGAATTAAAAAGGATTTTTGTATGCTTACCTATGCTATAAATTTTGTTAAAACGAATGACATCATAATCATTTCCAAGTAGCATTATCTATGAAATCTTTTTTTTCGCCCCACTTTTCTGCAATTTTTTTAGGCTGACCGGTATTTGGTCCTGATTATAATCTCTGCCTCCAGTTTGATAATTCCCCCTGCCACTTTGAGTTAAGACATTTGGCCAAAGGAGATGATGGAATTCAAGCTTTGAGTTTCCCAACCTCAAGAATTTAAAGATTGTCATCTCCTCCGTATAGTAGAGCGTCATTTCAAATGGAGCTTTGACAAGCCATTCAAACTTTCAGAATATCTGTTAGACAACGCAACAGTTTTGGAGAAGTTCGTCATCATGTCAAAGAGAAGAAAGTGAGCTTTCCATGATTACTTGTGTTTTAGGTAACGGTAATTTATCCCTTATATTATATTTTGGATTTGCTACTAACAAACATCTTGTACTTGTCAATGTACCAAACATCTTAATAAATCCCACTCGAAAGAGCTACTGGTCGAACGGGATGTATTGTAGGACAATGTTCATACAAAATGATGCCAATATATTTAACTTTGGATAAGTGTCGAACAATATTGGTCAGTATCTTTCTTTTGATTTTTGTTACAACTTTTACAGTTTGGTAGCCCTTGAAATACTGACTCCAAATTTTTTCATTATGTTCAATGGTTAGATGAGTTTCAATGGAGAAACTGTTAGAAAAATAATAATAGAAAAACGAAATTGAAGAAGGCTTGAGGCATGAGAACGACTTTCCTTAAAGAAGATATTGCCCGTATACAAAATGGGAAAATACAAACAATCTTTTTCAGGATACAACAAACCAAGAATATACTGCAGATTTTTCTATATCCACTTTGTTGGAAGAACTTCTATTTGTAGGCAACCATCGGACCTTTTCAAAAAGATGTGTTCTTTCGTAAACAGACACATCTGTTTATTCAAATAAATTTAAAATAAAACAGATTTAATTGTAGAAATAAATAAAAAATAAAATATTTATTTTAGGTCCGATCCGCCGAAGCCCAAGCCCAATTCCAAGTCTTTGATATTAATATATATAATATATAATATATATGTATTTGTACACATATAAGAGTATGTGTTCTAAATTAAACACATAAAAGGACAAGGACTTAAAAGGCACACAAAGTGGCCTTGCACCACCGATGTGGGACAAGTCCACTTTTCCAACATCAATAGCAAACTATCTTTCAATCCCCCACTAGTTTGTTATATTTCTCATAATATTACGCATATTGGAGAGTATCTTATTTTGATTTGAACTTTCCATTAGTGTAAATATCTTAAAGTCTTGACGAAGTTATTGGTACCTTAAAGGTTTGAACCACAACTCCTTGTGTCAAAATCGAAAATATCACACGCACAATATTACACACTGGCTAAGAAAATCCAATATTTGCTTTAGCACGTTTATGGCCATGTGCTCATCCTGACTTCATGAATATTTACAAGATCAACCCCTTAAACCATGCTTGAAGCGGCACCACTTCAATATTCATATAGGTGAAATTAGCTACAATGTTCCTGTTACTACAAACATTTACTAATTTCATTAAGATTTTATTCAACCTCTTTGTGTAACAGTTTGCACCATGAAGATTGTTATTTTTCCCTAGTTATTTCAGATATTTAACAACTTCTTGACTCCTCCCATAACAATATTTAGTACATTGGAATTAAGGCTCCGAAAGGAGATTAGTGCTTAAGCAATACAAAATAACTTGTTATTACCTCATTGAACTTATTTTGTTAGAGTGTATACTAACTCAAAGTTGGGTTCCTGTCGCTTGTATTCAATTTAGAGGTTTTATCCCCATTCCTTCACAAGTTTGTTGTACTACATTTCTCGTCAATGGTTTGGTAAGTGGATCTGCCAAATTCTTATTCGATATCACATACACAATAGTTATAGTCCCATTTGTGACTAGTTCTCTTATATAAGCGTGCCTCAGTCTTATATGTCTTGATTTCCCATTATATATCTTATTGTGAGCCACACACATGGTAGTCTCACTATCACAAAATACAGAAATGGTTGGCATAGGTTGTGGCCACAACTTTATATCTAATAACATGTTCCTCAACCATTCTGCTTCTTTCCCAGCAGCTGCTAATGCTATGAATTCAGATTCCATAGTAGAATGAGAAATACAAGTTTGTTTCTTGGATGCCCAACTATTAGCACCACCTCCCAAAGTAAATATACATCTTGAAGTGGATTTATTATCATCAACACTAGTAATCCAACTTGCATCAGAATATCCCTCTAAAACAGTGGAAAAACCATTATAGCAAATGCCCAAATATTTTGTATATTTTAAATATCCAAGTACTCTAGTTATTGCTTTCCAATGATCATTACTTGGATTACTAGTAAACCTTGAAAGTTTACAAACAACAAATGCTATATTAAGTCTTGTACAATGCATTGCATACATCATACTACCTATTGCACTTGCATACTCTAATTGGGCTATTGCTCTTCCAGTATTTTCAGTTATCTTGATACTGGAGTCATAGGGAGTATTAAACTCCTTTATGCCTAAATGACTGAACTTAGCAAGGATCTTATCAATATAATGTGATTGTGATAAAGTCATTCTTTTGTTCTCTCTTTTCACCTTTATGCCTAGAATAGTATCTACTTCATTTAAGTCTTTCATCTTAAAAACTGAAGTTAGATACTTCTTGGTTTCAGTAATACCAAACATATTGTACCAAAAATTAGCATGTCACCAACATATAGACAAATGATAACTCCGTATTCTTTTGTGAACTTGGAGTAGATACATTTGTCAGCAGGATTATGTATGAATCCATTTGAAAGTGCAACACTATCAAACCTTTCATGCCATTGTTTAGGTGCTTGTTTCAAACCATAGAGAGACTTTATCAATTTACATACTTTCTTCTCATTTCCTGGAAGAACAAAACCTTCATGTTGTTGCATATAAATCTCCACTAAGGTTTCCGTTTAAAAATGCCATTTTAACATCCATTTGATGCACATACAAGTTATATATAGACGACAACGATAGAATCACTCTAATGGACGTTATTCTTGCTACAGGAGCATAAGTGTCAAATAGTCTATGCCTTCTTTTTGAGTGAAACCTTTTGCTACTAAACTTGCTTCGAAGGTTTGGATAGAACCGTCTGTATTATACTTCCTCCGAAAGATCCATTTACAACCTATGGGTTTTGATCCATTTGGAAGATCAACTAAAACACACGTATTGTTGGACATTATTAAATCCATTTCATCGTTAATAGCCTCTTTCCAGAAGGAAGCATCTCGAGAAGCCATAGCTTCTTGAAATGTATCTGGGTCTTCTTCAACATTTAATAAGATAGGAATTTGATTACAGACATTTTTTCTATCTCCTTCTACAAGAAAGATTAAGGACTGTGAAGAGATAAAATCAGAACCAAGACATTTTTCTTTCCTTATTCTTTGACTCTTTCTTAGTTCTATTTGTATATTGTCACTTTTTTTTTTCACTTGTAGTAATTTCGGAATGTGACAATCTATAGGCATTATTATCACTTTCATTTGATTCAGTCATTTCCTCATCAACAGTGTTATCTAAAAATTTATTTTCAATAAATTCAACATGAATAGATTCCATTATAACATTAGATTCTAGATCCAACAATCTATACGCCTTAGAATTTTGAGCATATCCAACAAAACCACTTTTAATTCCTCTAAGACCTAGTTTTGTTCTTTGGTGATCATGAACTCTATAGAATGATATACACCCCCACACTTTAAAATAATCTAAATTAGGTTTTCTATTATTCCAAAGTTCATACGGTGAAACATGTAAGCTTTTTGAAGGCACCCTATTTAATATGTGACAAGCTGTTAAAAGTGTTTCACTCTATAAATTATATGGTAAATGTGCATTCATTAACATAACATTAATCATATCAACTAAAGTTCTATTTTTCCTTTCAGCCAAACCATTTTATTGTGGTGGATAAGGAGCACTTGTTTGATGTATCAAACCATTCTCTTCACAAAACTTATTATATTCAGAGGAAAAATATTCTTCACCTCTATCACTACGAAGAATTCTTAGCATTCTTTTGATTTTCCACAGCGGATTTATATTCTTTAAACTTCTGAAATGCTTCATCTTTTGTTCTAAGCAACTAAACATATGTGAATCTAGAATAATCATCTATAAAGGTAATAAAATATCTCTTGCTTCCTCTGGTTAACTTTCCATTTAGTTCACATATATCCAAATGTACTAAGTGTAACAATTCACTAAATCTTTCAGTTTTACGAAAGGTTTCTTAGTCATTTTTGCTTGTATACATATTTCACATTATCATGCTTGCAAGAAATATATCCATTTTTGGACATATAATTTAACGAACCAAAATTTAAATGTCCTAATCTAGCATGCCATAAATAAGAATTGGACTCAACAATATAAGCAGAAACATAGTTTATTGCATTAGTACTAAGTTTGAACATGCCATCACAATAGTAGCCCTTTCCAACAAATAAACCATTCTTAGATACTATTACATGATCAGATTCTATGACTATCATGAAGCCTCTCTTAGACAGCAAACTAGCAGACATCAAGTTCTTTTTCATGTCGGGAACATGGTACACATTTAGCAATGTTAGCTTCTGCCCAGAAGTGAAATTGATCTCAACACTTCCTTTTCCTGCAACATCTGCAGTCATATGATTTCCCATGAGAACCTTCTCGGGTTCCTTCATTTCTGCATAAATCTTGAACATATCCTTCTCATAACAGACATGAACGGTGGCACCCGAATCCAACCACCATTCTTGACTCTTAACAGCAGCAGCAACCATGTTTAATTCTGTAACCATATTACATGGTACTACAGAAACCATTGCAACCAAGCCTTGTGAAGAACTTTCAACTATGTTTGCTTTTGCTTTTTCAAACCTTCCCAAGTTTCCAGAAATTCCATGGTTAAAGTTAATTCCTACTTTCTTAAACCTGCAATCACAGATCATGTGGCCTTTCTTTCCACAATGATGACATTTCAAAGTATTCCTCTTTTTAAATTGAGGCTTATTTGAAACTTTCATATTTTTGTTTCCATCTCCGTTATTATTCTGACTAACATTATTAACCGTGGAACTCGAAGGTTGCATAAAAGTATCACGAATTCAATTCTCACTTTCAGTTTGAATGTGAGTTCGAAACTGTTCCACAATCAATTTCTTAGAAGAATGCAGGATCTTCTTTTTATAGTCATTCCAGGAAGAAGGCAATTTAGAAAGTATAGTACCGATTTGAAGTGCATCAAGAATTTTAACTTCAAGATCAGTTAGTTTTGAAACTAAGATTTGCAGTTCATGAATCTGATCCATGATGGGCTTTGTATCAACCATTTTAAATTCGAAGTACTTTAAAGATAGAAATTTATAAATACCTCATTTCTCGTTTTCATAAGCACTTTGCAATGCCGTCCAGATTTTCCTTGGAGACTTCAAATTTTGATACATATCATAGAGACGATTTGTTAATGTATTCAGAATATGTCCCCGACA